AGAGTGCACTGCAATGCCCCATCAGGTGTGAGGATAGCTACCATCGCAGCCCAGACAGCAGCTGCTGGGCAAATCTATCCAATTCCTGCCCCTACTGTGAGGGTCAGGGGTATTATAACAACTATTATTGCTGTTATTATTGCTGTTCACAGAATCATGGAATAACAGGCTGGAAGGAGATCACCCAGTCCAACCCCCCTGGAGCAGGTGACACAAGAAGGTGTCCATGTGGGTTGTTGTTATTATTATTATTATTATTATTATTATTATTATTATTATTATTATTATGATCAATGCGGTAACCCCTCTGTCATGTCTCTTTTCCCACATTAGCACACAGGATCACTCAAGAGGTTGAAATTCAGGCAGTCCTCACAGAGAAGTTTATTTTGTAGGTTATTTTAGGTGGCCAGGCCAAAGGTGCAGGAGGAATTCTAGACATACACTCCATGCTTTTTTCTGGAGCAATGCAATGACTCGCCTGCCTTTCACCAGAGGGAGTCCAGCTCCAGGGGCCATGTGCCAGCCCAGTTCCACGGAGAGGGACCAGCCTTTCTCCAAAGGCTGTGGTAACCTCTGCTGGCAGCTCCTGGCTGCTACAACAGCTAAGATGTTCTTAGAGGTGAGCTTGTAGTTGAGCAGAAAAAAAAAGACATCAGAAGAGGCATTTCACATTTGCTTACTCATACTTTTGTATGCATTTGCTACTACAGAGGATTGGAATTTTTTATTTGAATATGTATTTTTAAAGCAACGGTGATTTAGATAAATTAGGACCCTGTTCACCCAAGTATGAACATGTTTATTTCCTCAGACAGTGCAGCTTTTGTTACCAAGCAGGTCTGTAACTGTAGTTTGCTGCTAGTCTACATTATTCTGTTTGAAGATATGGGTACACCATCGAGTGTCATCTGACATACCTGAGGGATGTATTTTATGCATAGGATAATATCAATAATGCTAATTTTTTTCCAGTGTTTAAACAAATATGTCACACATGTGACTTATATCCAATCCTGTTCCACTTCTTCAAATGGCAATATTTTATATCTGTGTAAGACAGGTACTAATCACATAAATAGGTATATTAAAGGCTCCAGGTGAGGCCATGGTCATAAGTTTTAAGAACTACAAATGTTATCTTTTTGCTCTAAGAAGTTTAAAATCTAAACAGATTTTGGGCAGGACAGGAACAAAATGCAGGCAATGGGTATAGGATTCCAATGTACCTTGATTCCTATTAGTGTGCCTTACTCTGTAGATGCATGCAGAGAGATGGAATACATATGGGATAAATGAGAGCTGGGTTTTACTGGAAGCTTTATCACACTGACAAGAAATCAGGTACTAGTCTCCATTTCAACTATTACCAGTAGAAACAGATTGTCGCCTCATCCGTGGAAAACCTAACACTTGTCTCCCATTCTATTCGCAACTATAGTTTGTGGTCTTCTATCTCCTTAGATGAAATACTTAATAGAAAAACTTCTATGAGGCAAGATTTCAGACAGAATTAATTTCATTTTCTCTACTCTGCAGGTTTCTATTATTTCACCATAGTTGAAACAGCAGCCCACAGCAACAAACATGCTTCAATCTGAAAGCATCCTGAGAATTCCTGCTTAAGACACATACTTCTAATCTACCAAAACCATGATTTCTAAGAAAAATCTGTGGCTGCACAACTGCCTCAAAATGGAAAACATCATGTAGACAATGTGCATGCTGCTACAAGTCAGACCTTAATTGACCAAAAATACTAGATAGAGCTGTCTGTTTAATTAGACATGGATCAAAAATGAAGAACTAAGTACTTTCCCATCATTCCCTGCAGGTTTTGAAGTTGGCATTTCCCCCCTCTGCATATAGTTAGTTGCTTGCCTCGGGTTGTAAAGAAATGCAGAGGGCTGTTATTAAAGCACTGATAATTTGCTGAACTCCATCTTTTGTGGAACTTGCTGAGTTAGAAAATTCCTTTTCACCTCCTCCCCCACCCCTCCTTGACTACAGTTGAACTGAAGAACAAATATCACATTATAGAGTTAGGTAAAAGGATCAACTGTGTTTGCAGTTAAGTGACTAGCACAAGACAGAACAAATCCTACAGCTCAAACCTGTCCAGCTAAATGATGAGCAAAATAAAAAAGGCATTTGCTTTTTAAAAGAATATCAGAACAAGGACTCATGTTTAGGATTTGCTGCGCTTTAGTTCTTTATATTCAGATATTGACTCCCAGTATAGTTTATTAGAAAGTTTTACAAGCCTGGAGATAAAGAATTGCCACTGCAATGAGAGAGATTCTGAGAGTGCAGAAAACACGAGGCCAGCTCATCAACTGTTCAGTGGTAGCCTCAACTCAGAGGTCTGCATTTCAGCACTGAAGCCCCTGACAGGAAGGATTTTTATCCAGTTCTCCATGTTCCATCCTAGTGAAGCAGTAGTGGGTTCTTTCATGGCCAGTGGCTCAAGTTAAAATCAGCAACGCTGGCAGTTAGGACCTTCCCCTTCTGCCACAGATATCTGTTTCCAAATTGGTTCAGCTAAATTCTATATCTGTTCCTCATTACATGTCAACTGTTACCATTTTTAACTAGCATTAATATTCTTGTAAACTGCAGAAATCAGGCAGTATAGAACCCATCCAATTATCCCCAGTGCTGACCTCAGTGTAGATAAGCAGAGCTACTTCTCCATCAGGTGCCCTCATTAAACCTGCTGCCAAACACACATCAACCAGCCCAGTCTCTCAGCTGACAAATAAAAAGGAGATGTCAGACACCCACAGAATCACCAGGCTTTTTGCAAGAGGGATGGACATCACTTAAACCACATAGAAGTATTATCAGGAAGCACAGGTTTTGACATTTCTCATCATATCTTCCCAACATGAAGCAATCATTTGCATTCCTTCCCCTGCTCAATCCACTTCTGCAAAGGGTCTGATCTTTCTTTTAATCATTGATAGAAGCATGCACTTGTCTTATATTAAAATGAAATCGATTTTCTGTTTGCCTCTACTTGCTTGCCTTTTTTACACATATTCAAGTCCTTCTCTGCTCCATGACATTCTTCAAACTTACATTTTGGTACAGCTGCTTTGTAGTTCAAAGAAAGACATGAGAAGAGGCAATATTTTCAAACAAATATTTTTAATGATTTAACATGTTTAGACACTGGTTTGAGCAGCACTACCAAGGAAGGATGATGCAGTTTCTGTCCCATTGAACGGACAAAGGTCACAATGCGCTTCTGATCACATCCTGTTTTTCTAGGAGAGAAAAGGGAGAGAATTCCCACAAAGTTGTCCAAATCACATTGGTTCTTACGACTTCTTCCAATTACTGCTTCACACAGTGGTATCACCTGCTAAGGAATTAATACCAAGTTGGAAAAGAAAGCAAGAGCAAGTCATCAGCATCTTGACCTCATCAGCCATGGTGCAAACACATGAAATGCTGGAATATATCTCAGCGGGAATGATATGTTAGACCAAGCTGATCGCCTTCCCTAGGGAAAATTATTATGAAGTGCTGGAAAGGGGTGAAGAATCTGTTTAACACTGAAAAGCGATGCAACCTCTGCTACCCTCTGAAGACAGCATTTCACACTGCATCCTCACCCTGCTGCAGCAGCCTGATGCAGCAAGTTGCCATAGGATGGCAGCAAAGGGGAGACTGATTTTCAGTTGGATAAACTGCTAAGTCTAAAGCTCTCAAGCTTTTAGAAAAACAAGATTTCCAAGACAATCTGCTGATGGAACCATTATTTCACTTGAAGACTTCTGGGAAAGAACAATGCAAGCAATTTTGCCTGATGAATGGCACTATTTGTTTATATCATTTGTGATTGCAATAGCATTCTACAGATCTTTTGCAACAAGATATTCCACCACTGTTTGTTTTTTGTGGTTTTATCTTCAACACCTCTGTAGACAGACTTTCATATATATTTTTATTTAATTTTTATTTTATGCAGTTTAGGCAAGCATACACAGAGTCAAAACTATGGGGGAGATGAATGGGACAAAACCAAAAACATTGTGACTTTAGCTGAGCTCATGCAACACAGCTGACCTCAAAGGAGGGCTTGCACCATGTTCTGATGTTCTAACTATTTCATGCACAAGGGCTGGTGTGTGGGGCTGGTCAGGCTGAGCACTTGCCTTTGTGCTCCAGGGGCTTCAGGATGCAGAGCCCTTCTGTTCCCTGTGGGGCTGCTGACAAGGGGGAGAGTCACTGGTGCTGAGGCAGTGCCTGCATTGAGGCTGTTGTGGCACCTCAGCACTGGCAGGGGACTATGGGCTCGGCTGGGCAGCTGCAGGTGCAGAGCCCTGTGCAGAAGCCCCAGCATGGGAAGGAAGTGGCTGGAAGAGCTGAGCTGCCTCAGGGGATGCACAGAGGGTGGGTGACACCAGGATCACAGGTTTGCTGAAGGTGGCAGCAGAGGATGCAATGGCAAGGCAGGGTAGAAAACGTTCCTGTCATCCCTTGACATGGAACTTGGCTAAGGTTGAGAAGCCTTTGCGACACACCTCAATCCAGCTGAGTGTAATCCTGTGGCTCCTGAAGCATACTGGCTTCTCTTCCTGGCTTGCAGCAGGACCTATTTTTCCCAGCTGAGTGCCCAAGGGAGCAGGTGGACTGGAGTTATCTTGCTGCATAGATGGGAAAGAAAGAGAGGAAGCAATGGGATCGAAGCTGTCAGGAGATGTTGGGGGATACATTTCTATGGAGGGCCTGTGTCGGGTAGGCAGCCACATAACAGGGTGTTAGGTGCCACAGCACAGCCCCATGATGTCATGAAGCTGCAGGGATCACACTGGAGCCTGAGCAGCTTCCCTCCTTGCAGTGCTCACCACAGCTCATGTGCCATGGCCAGACTCTCCTTGCCTGCACTGGGCCTTTGGGCAAAGGGACTCCATCCTGCTGCCCAGGCAGGCCTATGCTCCTGGGACACTGACTGACCCCTGTCTTCTCCCCTCTCTTCTCTCCCTCTCCAGGTTCCCTGGTCCAGGCAGCGCTGACTCAGCAGCCATCCTCTCTGTCAGCCAAGTGAAGGAGTCCGGAGACAGCGTCAGGATCACCTGCTCTGGGATTAGCAGCAGCTATCCTTATGCTGGCTGGTACCAGCAGAAGGTCCCTGGCAGTGCCCCTGTCACTGTGATCTATGCTAATGACAAGAGACCCTCGGGCATCCCTTCGCGATTCTCCGGATCCTTGTCTGGCTCCACGGCCACGTTAACCATCACTGGGGTCCAAGCCGAGGACGAGGCTGTCTATTTCTGTGGTAGCTATGACAGCATCAGTGGCAACTATGGTGTATGGTGACAAGGAGTACCAGGAAGGGAGACACTCCAAAATCAGAGGAAAGATTTTGGTCCTTCTCCCTCCTGGCTGGTCATGTGAATGAGGCAGATTCCTGTCCCTTATGCATGGCCACAGCACGGAATGTCCTCTCTTTGGTGTTGCAGAGATCAGGAAGTGACTGTGCAGCTGGGACCCATTGTTATGTTATTACAAAGATCTTGGTGTAGCTATGTCCCCTACAGCCTCTTGATACTCACGACCATCTCCTCCTGTGCTGCAAGAACTTGTTCTGTGCAGCCATTCTGCAATGGGCTGAACTCTTCTCCTCAAGTATGCCTGTGACCTTGTCCCTGTCTGTTCTGTCCTCGGCTGCTTCATTCCTTGTAACCTTGTCCAGGAAGGTCTGTGCTTCTGGGAGACTGGCTGATCCTCCTCTACCCTCTCCCTCTCTGCATTCCCTGGTCCAGGCAGCACTAGTGAATCATCCTCGGTGTCAGCCAACATGGGAGACACCGCCAGGATTACCACCTGTGGTGGCAGCGGCAACTAGGGCTGCTACCAGTGACAACTATGGCCGGTATCAGCAGCAACTATGGCTGGTATCAGCAGCAACTATGGCTGGTATCAGCAGCAACTATGGCTGGTATCAGCAGAAGGTCCCTAGCAGTGTCCCTGTCACTGTGATCTACAACACTAACCAGAGACCCTCGGGCATCCCTTCGCGATTCTCCGCATCCACATCTGGCACCACAGGCACATTAACCATCACTGGGGTCCAAGCCGAGGACGAGGCTGTCTATTTCTGTGGTAGCAGGGACAGCAGTGGTACTGGTACAGTAACAAAGAGAGATTTTCTAGTGAGGTAGAGAGGAAGTAAAAATGGAGACTTTCTGTCATTCTCATAATCAGGCAGAATTGTGATGTAGGACTGGGACAGGTTTTTGTCTCTTCTGCACTACCATAGCTCTTAATTTTGCCCATTTTTTGTCTTAAAGAGTAGAAGGTACCTTTGTGGCTGGTGATCATTGTTCTGCTCCCTACAAAACTAATGTCTTTGTCTCCCACTCCATTAAGACTCACAATAATGACCATGTCATCCTGATGGTGCCTGTGTGCTGTGATACAGGGGGCTGAGCACTGCCCCCCATTTGTGCCTGTGGCCATTTTCCATGTCTGTTCTCCTTTGATTGTTGCATTCCCCATAACCTTATCTGAGCAAGCCTGTGCTCTTGGAACACTGACTGACCCCTGTTCCTTCTCCCCTCTCTCCTCTCCCTCTCCAGGTTCCTTGATCCAGGCAGAAACAGTGACTCAGCCATCCTCTCTGTCAGCCAAGGTGGGAGACACAGACAGGATCACCTGCTCTGGGAGTAGCGGCAGCTATGGCTGGTTTCAGCAGAAGGTCCCTGGCAGTGCCCCTGTCACTGTGATCTACTGGAATGACAAGAGACCCTCGGACATCCCTTCGCGATTCTCCGGATCCAAGTCCGGCTCCACGGGCACGTTAACCATCACTGGGGTCCAGGCTGAGGACGAGGCTGTCTATTTCTGTGGTGGTGATGACGGCAGCAGTGGTGGTCAGCACCGTGGAGGCGCTGACTGCAGCATTCTCCTTCCTTTTGCTCTGCCATTTCTCCCTGCAGGACCCTCATGCTTCAGGTTCTGTCTGTGGCTCTGGGCCCCTCCATTGCATCTTGGGGCCTTTGGGCAGAGGGGCACCTCCCTGCTGCCCAGTCTGTTCCCCTTGGACACTGACTGACTCCCCTCTTCTCCCCTCTCTTCTCTCCCTCTCCAGGTTCCCTGGTCCAGGCAGCGCTGAGTCAGCCATCCTCTCTGTCAGCCAAGGTGGGAGACACGGTCAGGATCACCTGCTCAGGTAGCAGCAACAGCTACTATGGCTGGTTCCAGCAGAAGGTCCCTGGCAGTGCCCCTGTCACTGTGATCTACGATAGCAACAAGAGACCCTCGGACATCCCTTCGCGATTCTCCGGCTCTGGGGGCACGTTAACCATCACTGGGGTCCAAGCCGAGGATGAGGCTGTCTATTTCTGTGGTAGCATAGACAGCAGCTATGTTGGTGTAATGAAAATGACAGATTTTCAAATTATGTACAGAGGAAATAAAAATGGCATTTTACTGTTCTTCTCATCACCAAGCAGAGTGATGGCTGTGAGGCTGGGGCAAGTTTTTGTCTCCTCTACACGACTGTGGCTACAAATGTCCCCCCTTTTGTGTCCTAGAGCACTGGAGGGAAGCTTGGGCCTTGAGATCATTGTCCTGGTCCCTACAATATTCACAGTATGGCTTTGTCCTCCATCCCATTGCCTCTTGCTACTGATGACAACATTCTCCTCCTATTGCCAGAGGTTCCTCTGTGCTGGGATGCCTTGGGGTACATTTGGCTTGGCTCTGCTCCCCAGATTCACTAGTGGCTGTGGTTGCACTCATTCTCCTTTGAGTGTGGTATTCCCCATCCCCTTGCCCAGGAGATGGTCATGTTCCTGGAACACTGGGTGAAACCCCTCTACTTCCCTCTATTGCCCTGCTCCATAGTCCCTGGCCCAAGCAGCATCGCTGAGTCAGCCATCCTCAGTGTCAGCCACTCTGGGAGAAACCACCAAGACCTCTGGGGCTAGCAGTGGCTGTGCCTGGTCCCGGCAAAAGGTCTCTGATGGTGACCCTGTGATCTATGACAGCTTGAAGAGACCCTCAGTGGTGCTGGAGGACATTGACATGTGATGGCTCCTGGAAGTGAAGAGCTGTGGTGGGGCTATTAGTCCCTGCCCTCAAAAAGTCCTGTCCTATGGTTGCTCAGAGGATCTGGGACAATCCCTGTCATGATCTCTGGACATTCTGGTCCCTGCCAGTCCCTGCCAGTTCAGGGCTGGTGCCATCTCATCTCTGGTGACAGCAACTGTGCCAAAGGACCCTGTGTCTGTGTGAGACGCTCTCCCCTGTGAGCAAAGGCTGCCGTGGGCAGGGTGCCATGCAGAAACCCTGATGGCTGTGCCCAGGGCCGGAGGAATCTCTAGACCTGCTGGAAGCCCTGGCAGGGTGAGAGGCAGCAAGGGCAGAGTCCTGTGCCGGGCTCTGCTCTCAGTTCCTGCAATGCTGTCCCTGTCCCTTCTTGTCCCCACACGGTGTCAGTGTGGCTCCACTGCACAGGCAGGAGGCTGGCGGGGCAGGCAGGAGGCACAGGGGCTGTGGCCAGCCAGGTGCCAGCGAGGTTCAGAGCAGCCCCCCGGGCTCCTTTGGCGGCTGCCGGGGGCCGTGCTGTGCGCAGGAGGCAGAGGGGCAGCCCCTGGCCGGACAGGAGTGCAGGTGCTGTGTGCTCGTGCTTGGTACAAACACCAGACCAGCTCTACCCACAGTCGCTGCAAAGCTGCTGGAGACCCTCAGCTCACTTTGAATTTGGAGAAAGCGGGGGCTTAATTTGCCTTAGTGGTGTTGAGCCTGGAAGCTCCTGGTCTTGGTGTGGCTCCCATCCCCTTTCAAAGCCCCATTTCTCTGTTCTGCACTTCTCTTGTGGCAATTCAGAGAGGCCCAGGGTGGCACCCTCAGTTGAAGCAGGATGTGGTTTTCCCAGCTGCTGATCAGCACCCAGGCAGCACAGTGCCCTGTGTGGCCAGGAGGCACCAACCAGCCTTGGGTGCTCCAGGACAGGTGGATGTGTCCCCATGGCCAGGTGGTGCTGTCCCCTGCTCTGTGCACAGAACTCCCAGTGCAGTGAGGCCATGGTCCTACTGGGCAGGAACAGGCTCAGGGTGGTCTGCAGCTGATCTGAGAGTAATCAGCCGTACCGGGAAAGGAGCAGGCAACCCAGAGCAATCTTTGGTGGGCCAGATGTGCCTGCAGCACGTGGTGGTAGCACTGGGACAAGACCTCCAGGGAACACTGGGCCATGGGAGGCCTGTGCCTGGGCAGGTAGGGGCTTAAAAGCATGTCAAGGCCCACAGCACAGCCCCATCATTGTGAGGATATGGAGCTGGTGGGACTGTACCATAGCCTGGGCCATTCTCCTTGCAGTACTTGCCCACAGCTCGGGTGCTATGGCCAGACTTGCTGTGCCTGAACAGGTTTGCTCTTCCGTTGGGAGGTCTGTGCTCCTGGGACTCTGACTGACCCCTGTCTTCTCCCCTCTCTTCTCTCCCTCTCCAGGTTCCCTGGTCCAGGCAGCAGTGACTCAGCAGCCATCCTCTCTGTCAGCCAAGGTGGGAGACACGGTCAGGATCACCTGCTCCGGGGGTAGCAGCTGGAGCTATGCCTGGTTCCAGCAGAAGGTCCCTGGCAGTGCCCCTGTCACTGTGATCTACTACAATAACAACAGACCCTCGGACATCCCTTCATGATTCTCCAGATCCAGGTCCAGCTCCATGGGCACGTTAACCATCACTGGTGTCCAAGCCGAGGATGAGGCTGTCTATTTCTGTGGTGGCACTGACAGCAGCAGTGATGCTGCACACTGACACGGAACAATGGGGAAGCAATACAAAAGCCTCCCACCTCAGCTGTCTCTTACAGTCCCGTCCCTGTGTCCATTCTCTGTCATGTGGGGAAGGGACAACCTCCCCGCAGCCTCTCCCTGCACACTGTGCCAAGACCAATGTCCCCCTGTGATCCTCAGCTTGTGCCAAGGGCCCTGCTGGATGCATCCTAGCCCAGCTCCCAGCCCAGCTGCACCAGGAGCCCCTTAACAACACCAAAGAGAGCTCAGCCTTCTGCCCCCAGCACCAAGAGCTGGGGACATGACATGGGCCAGGGAGCTGGGCTAAAGATTTGCATTTAAAGCCTGGGAAGGGATATTTCCCATGGGTGCAGGAGCTCTGCAGTCATGCATGAGGCTGCCAGGGAAGATCAGGGCTGGTCAGGGAATGCTCTGTTGTGTTCAAGAGGAGCTGCTGGGCTAAAGATGCATTGGCTGTGTGTACTCAGTGCCAGCCCACTGGGCTCACTTTCAGCCTGTGCATGAGTTCTCGAGCACCTCTGGCTCTCAGGGAAGCCCCTGACCCTGGACAACATCCCAATATGACCCCACAACAGCAAGGAGCCTGAACCCATCCCCATCCTGTGATCTCTGAGCAGCTGGCACCTGGCTGACCTTGTCCCCATCCTCGCAGTGTTATTCATCCCTGGTGCAGATATCCTGGCCAGACTCAGTGTGACCAGCTGGGGATGTTGAGCATGGGGGTCCAATCATTGTCCCACTGCCTGGGGAGATCTGTGTTCCCGGGTCACTGCCTCACCCCCTCTCCTCACCTCTCTCCTCTCCCTCTCCAGGTTCCCTGGTCCAGGCAGCAGTGACTCAGCCATCCGAGGTGAAGGCCAAGGTGGGAGAGACAGTCAGGATCACCTGCTCTGGTAGCAGCTACAGCTATGGCTGGTTCCAGCAGAAGGTCCCTGGCAGTAGCCCTGTCACTCTGATCTACCAGAATGACAAAAGACCCTCGGGCATCCCTTCACGATTCTCCGGATCCACATCTGGCACCACAGGCACATTAACCATCACTGGGGTCCAAGCCGAGGACGAGGCTGTCTATTTCTGTGGTGGCTATGACAGCAGTGGTGCTGGTACAGTAACAAAGAGAGATTTTCAAGTGAGGTAGAGAGGAAGTAAAAATGGAGACTTTCTGTCATTCTCATGACCAAGCAGAGGTGTGAATGTAGGACTGGAGCAAGTTTTTCTCTCCTCCACATGATCCTGGCCCTGAATTTTGCTCATTTTTTTGTCCTAGAGACTGGGAGGTGTCTCTGTGGCTGGTGATCATTGTTCTGCTCCCTACAAAACCTATAGTGTGGCTTTGTCTCCCACAGTTCTCTGACCTACTACTAATGACCATGTCGTCTTCTGGGTGCCTCTGTGCTGTGATACAGGGGGCTGAGCTCTGCTCCCCAGTTGTGCCCGTGGCCATTTTCCATGTCTGTTCTCCTTTGACTGTTGCATTCCCCATAACCTTATCTGAGCAAGCCTGTGCTCTTGGAACAGAATGACCCCTGTTCCTCCTCCTCTCTCTCCCCTCTCCCTCTCCAGGTTCCCTGGTCCAGGCACTAGCAGTGAGTCAGCCATGCTGGATGTCAGCAAACATGCAAGACACTGTCAGGGTCACCTGCTCCGGAGCTAGCAGCGGCTGGTATGGCTGGTACCAGCAGAAGGTCCCTGGCAGTGCCCCTGTCACTGTGATCTACAACAATGACAAGAGACCCTCGGGCATCCCTTCACGATTCTCCGGATCCTGGTCCAGCTACACGGGCACGTTAACCATCACTGGGGTCCAAGCCGAGGACGAGGCTGTCTATTTCTGTGCTAGCTGGGACAGCAGCAGTACTGATGTGTAATGGAGTAGTGAGACACAGAAGCCAGTGTCAAGAGAGAAAGGCTTTGAGCCATTTTTTCTCATGGCCAAACAAAGCTGTGATAGTGGACTTGAGGCAGGTTCCTGTCCCCTACCACCACAGGAGGACATGAATGTGCATGACAAGGCACAGGAGGTGACCCCTTCTCCTGTTCCCAGAATAGGAATGGCACTGCCTCATCCCCAGCCCTGCTGCCTTTTGCTTTAGGCTGCTCCCTCCTGCTGCTGCTGCTGCTGCTGCTGCTGAAGCTGAAGCTGAAGCTGAAGCTGAAGCTGTCTCTGCTGCTTTGCCCTGGGCCAGGCTGGGCCCTGATTCCCTCATGTTTTTGTAGCCATGACCAGGTCCCTTTCCCTCAGAGGGTGATGTTCTACTGCTCTGCTGGAGAGCTGCCAGCTCTCCTTCCAGGTTCATGGGTCTCTAATCTTCCTCTCTGTCTTGAGGCTGTTTGTCCCACTGTGGCACAAGAACCATTGGGCACAGGGGACTGGCACACTGCCTGGGCAGGGATGTGCTCCTGGGGAGAAATAACTGACCTTTCCAGTGTTACTCCTCTCCCTCTCCAGGTTCCCTGGCCTAGGCAGGATCACTGAGTCAGCCATACTCAGTGTAATTAAGCAGTGAAGATCACCGGCTCAGGTAGCAGCAACAATTATGGCTGGTACCAGCAGAAGGTCCCTGGCAGTGCCCCTGTCACTGTGATCTATCTTAATGATAAGAGACATCCCTTCTCAGTTCTCTGGGTCCATATCTGGCTCCACAGGCAGGTTAACCATTACTGGGGTCCAAGCTGGGGATGAGGTTGTCTATTTCTTTGGTGCCTTGGACAGCAGCAGCTCTCCTGGTCAAGGTCCATGGCACAGTCCCATCCCTGTGAGGTCGTGGCACTGGTGGGATTGCACCATAGCCTGGGCCCCTCCCCCTCTGCAGTGCTCAGGTCAGAGTCATTGTGCCTGGAGATCAGAGGGGCCATGTTCCCCTGCCCAGGCTGGTCTGTGCTCCTGGGATGCTGACTGACCCTCATTTTGTCCCCCCTTCTCCCTCTCCAGGTTCCCTGGTCCAGGCAGCATCACTGAGTCAGCCATCCTCTCTGTCGGCCAAGGTGGGAGAGACGGTCAAGATCACCTGCTCTGGTAGCAGCTACAGCTATGGCTGGTTCCAGCAGAAGGTCCCTGGCAGTGCCCCTGTCACTGTGATCTATGATAACACCAACAGACCCTCGGGCATCCCTTCGCGATTCTCCGGATCCAGGTCCGGCTCCACGGGCACGTTAACCATCACTGGGGTCCAAGCCGAGGACGAGGCTGTCTATTTCTGTGGTAGCTATGAAGGCAGCAGCAGCAGTGGCTATGGTGTGAGGTAACAGTGAGTAACAGAAAGTGACAGAAACTCAAAAAACAGTGGAAAGATTTTGGCCCTTCTCCCTCCTTGCAGCTCATAGTGTAGCTGTGTCCCCCACAGTCTCTTGCTACATGTCCTTCTGTGCTGCCAAATCTGCTTCTGTGCAGCTGTTCAGCAACTGTCTGGGCATTGCTCCTCAAATGTGCTTGTGACCATGTCCATGTCTGACTATTGGATTCCTTGTAATCTTGTCCAGGCAGTTGTCTGTACCTGGGACACTGACTGAGCTCCTCCTCTCCCCTCTCTTTTCTCCCTCTTCAAGTTTTCTGGTCCAGGCAGCAACACTGGGTCAGCCATCCTCATTGTCAGCCAAATGGGGAGAGACTCTTAAGATCAACTGCTCTAAAGGCAATCCCAATAAATACTTCGCCTGGTACCAGCAGAAGGTCCCTGGCAGTGCCCCTGTCACTGTGATCTATTTGGATAACAGCAGACCCTCGGGCATCCCTTCGCGATTCTCCGGTTCTGCCTCCGGCTCCACAGCCACGTTAACCATCACTGGGGTCCAAGCCGAGGACGAGGCTGTCTATTTCTGTGGTGGCCAGGACAGCAGCAGCTCTGCAGGTGAAGTGACAAAGAGGAATTAAAGGTATAGATTTTCATTCCTTCTAATGGCCAAGCAGAGTTGTGGATATGGGACTGGGGCAGGTTTATGTCTCCTCTGCATTAACATGGCTATGAATACCATTTTTGTCCCAGAGAACATAACTTTGTGGCTGGGGACCATTGTCCTTGTCCCTACAAAACTCATGGTATATCTTTGTTCCATACCTCACTGCCACTTGCAACTGATGACCATGTCCACCTTCATCTGCCAGAGCTGACTCTGTGCTGAGATGCCTCCTTGGCCTGGGCTCTACTCCTCAAATATGCTGGTGACTGTGTCTGGGTCCATTCTCCTCTGAGTGTGGCATTCCCTGTAAACCTGCTGCCCAGGCAGGTCTGTTCTACTGGGGCACTGGCTGACCCCTGACTTCTCCCCTCTCTGCTCTCCCTCTCCAGGTTCCCTGGTCCAGGCTGCGCTGACTCAGCCATCCTCTCTGTCAGCCAAGGTGGGCGACACCATCAGGATCACCTGCTCCGGGAGTAGCTATGGCAACTATGCCTGGTTCCAGCAGAAGGTCCCTGGCAGTGGCCCTGTCACTGTGATCTACTACAATGACAAGAGACCCTCGGGCATCCCTTCGCGATTCTCCGGATCCTATTCCAGCTCCACAGCCACGTTAACCATCACTGGGGTCCAGGCCGAGGACGAGGCTGTCTATTTCTGTGGTGGCTGGGACAGCAGCAGTGGCAGTTGGTATGGTGATACTGAGAGAGATGTGGAAATGAGGTACAGAGGAGTTAAAAATGGAACTTCTCTGCCCTCTCTCTCAGGGCTGAGCAGGGCTGTGGGCTTGATGCAGCTTCATCTCCCCCCTCCATGACCATTGGCTGTGAATGGCCTCCTGCTTGCCTCATGCTGTGCACAAGGAGGCCCTGGGGCTCTGCAGTGCCTGGCATTGCCATGTCCTCAGCCCCACCACCTCATTCTGCTGTCAGCCACGTCCTCTTGCTCTGTCAGGTCTCTTCATTGGGCCCTGGCCTTCAGCTCAGGCCCTGGGCTCTGTCTGAGGCAGCGACCCCTCTGTTCCATCAGGACTTTTTGGCACAGGAGCCCTTGTCCTGCAGGTCAGAGAGAGCTGTCCTGAGGCACTGACTGGCACCCCTCTTCTCCTCTCTCCCTGTCTACATTCCCTGGTCCAGGCAGCATCTGAGAGTCTGCTGTCTGAAGTTTCAGCCAACATAGGAGAGACTCTCAAGATCAGTAGCAGTGGCAATGCCTGGTCCCAGCAGAGGTCCCTGTCACTGTGATCTATGATAGCAGCAGGAGACCCACAGTGCTGCTGGTCCCTGCCAGTTCAGGGCTGGTGCCATCTCATCTCTGGTGACAGCAACTGTGCCAAAGGACCCTGTGTCTGTGTGAGACGCTCTCCCCTGTGAGCAAAGGCTGCCGTGGGCAGGGTGCCATGCAGAAACCCTGATGGCTGTGCCCAGGGCCGGAGGAATCTCTGGACCTGGTGGAAGCCCTGGCAGGGTGAGAGGCAGCAAGGGCAGAGTCCTGTGCCGGGCTCTGCTCTCAGTTCCTGCAGTGCTGTCCCTGTCCCTTCTTGTCCCCACACGGTGTCAGTGTGGCTCCACTGCACAGGCAGGAGGCTGACGGGGCAGGCAGGAGGCACAGGGGCTGTGGCCAGCCAGGTGCCAGCGAGGTTCAGAGCAGCCCCCGGGCTCCTTTGGCGGCTGCCGGGGGCCGTGCTGTGTGCAGGAGGCAGAGGGGCAGCCCCTGGCCGGACAGGAGTGCGGGTGCTGTGTGCCCGTGCTTGGTACAAACACCAGACCAGCTCTACCCACAGTCACTGCAAAGCTGCTGGAGACCCTCAGCTCACTTTGAATTTGGAGAAAGCGGGGGCTTAATTTGCCTTAGTGGTGTTGAGCCTGGAAGCTCCTGGTCTTGGTGTGGCTCCCATCCCCTTTCAAAGCCCCATTTCTCTGCTCTGCACTTCTCTTGTGGCAATTCAGAGAGGCCCAGGGTGGCACTCTCGGTTGAAGCAGAAAATGTGCAGCGAAGCCATTGTCCTACTAGGCAGGAACAGGCTTAGAGTGGTCTCTGGCTGATCTGAGAGCTCAGCAGTCATGCTGAGGAAGGGCAAGCAACCTACACCAATCTTGCTGCCTCTTGGTGGAACAGAGATGCCTACAGTGGGTGGAGGGAGCAGTGGGACAGGAGCTCTAGGGAACAGTGGGTGCCACATATCCATGGAGGGCATGCACCTGAGCAAGTGGGAGTTTAAAAGCGGGTCAAGGCCTGCAGCACAGCCCCATCAACGTGAGGACATGGAGCTGCTGAGGTTACAACATAGCCTGGGCCCTTCTCCTCACAGTGCTCATCACAGCTCATGTGCCATGGCCAGACTTCCATGCCTGCACTGGGCCTTTGGGCACAGGGACTCCATCCTGCTGCCCAGGCAGGCCTGTGCTCCTGGGACACTGACTGACCCCTGTCTTCTCCCCTCTCTTCTCTCCCTCTCCAGGTTCCCTGGTCCAGGCAGCGCTGACTCAGCAGCCATCCTCTCTGTCAGCCAAGGTGGGAGAGACGGTCAAGATCACCTGCTCTGGTAGCTATGGCAGCTATAGCTGGCACCAGCAGTGCCCCTGTCACTGTTATCTACTACAGTGACAAGAGACCCTCGGACATCCCTTCGCGATTCTCCGGATCCAAGTCCGGCTCCACGGCCACGTTAACCATCACTGGGGTCCAAGCCGAGGACGAGGCTGTCTATTTCTGTGGTGGCTATGACAGCAGCAGTGGCAGCAGCTATGGTGTGTGGTGGCCATGAGTAAGAGAAAGTGACAGAGACTCAAAATGCAGAGGAAAGATTTTGGTCCTTCTCCCTTCTTGCAGCTCATGGTGTACGTGTTTCCCCCACAGCCTCTTGCTACAGACAGCCATGTCCTTCTGTGCAGCCGTTCAGCAACTGTCTGGGCACTGCTCCTCAAATGTGCCTGTGACCATGTCCATGCCTGTTCTGTCCATGACTGTTGCATGCCCTGAAACCTTGTCCAGGCAGGCCTGTGCTCCTGGGACATGGAGTGGCTCCCCTCTTCTCCCCTCTCTTGTCTCCTCTTCCACATGCTCTGGTCCAGGCAACACTAAGTCATCAGCCATTCTCATTCTATCCAGCATGGAAGAGACTGTCAGGATCACCTGCTCTGGGGGTAGCAGCAGCTATGGCTATGGCTGGTACCAGCAGAAGGTCCCTGGCAGTGCCCCTGTCACTGTGATCTACAGCAATGACAAGAGACCCTCGGGCATCCCTTCACGATTCTCCGGCTCTGGGGGCACGTTAACCATCACTGGGGTCCAAGCCGAGGACGAGGCTGTCTATTTCTGTGGTGCCTGGGACAGCAGTGCTGGTCAGGATTGAGGTCGCCTGCAGGATGGTTGTTGTTGACCATGGATGCTGGGGGATGCTGTTTCTGAGGACTGACTGAAGTTTGAGAACCGCAGTTTACAGCAATGTTTTTGCAGACTGATAGTGCACCAGAGGCCCTTGGCTCTAGGGATCCCTGGTGGGACCAACACCTTGACAGGTGTAACTCATCATAAATCTGGTAGTTTTTCTCAGCAGTTAAAATGTGGTATAGTAAATATCCCCTAATGAGGGAGCTGAGTGGGAACTGGGGAAAGATGGACTAACAGGTTCCTGCCCTGTGAATGGAGTCTTAATTTCATGGAGAAACCATGTCCCAGACATGTAGTGGCTTAAAAGCTAGACAAGGTCTACAGCACAGCCCAAAGAAGGGTGAGAACATGGAGCTGGTGGGATTGCACCATGGCCTGGGCCCCTCCCCTCCTCACAGTGTTCACCTACAGCTCAGGTGCCATGGCCTGACTCACTGGAAGGCCATGGACAGGGCTTCTGCATGCAGGGCCACATCCTGCTGCTTTGGGAAAGCTGTGTTCCTGGGGTGCAGATTGATCTCTTTATTCTTCTCTCCCTCTGCAGGTTCCCTGGTCCAGGCAGCAGTGTCTCAGCCATCCTCTCTGTCAGCCAAGGTGGGAGAGGCGGTCAAGATCACCTGCTCTGGTAGCAGCAACTATTATGGCTGGTACCAGCAGAAGGTTCCTGGCAGTGCCCCTGTCACTGTGATCTATTTGGATAACAGAAGACCCTCGGGCATCCCTTCGCGATTCTCCGGTTCTGCCTCCGGCTCCACAGCCACGTTAACCATCACTGGGGTCCAAGCCGAGGATGAGGCTGTCTATTTCTGTGGTAGCAGGGACAGCAGCAGCTATGCTGGTGAACTGACAAAGATAGAGGAATTAAAAGCATAGATTTTCAGTCTTTCTCATGGCAAAGCAGAGTTGTGGATGTGGGAATGGTGCAAGTTTATGTCGCCTCTGCATGACCATACCAATGAATACCATTTTTGTCCCAGAGAGCAGAACTTTGTGGCTGGGGACCATTGTCCTTGTCCCTACAAAACTCATGGTATATCTGTGTTCCACACCTCACTGCCTCTTGCTACTGATGACCATGTCCACCTTCATCTGCCAGAGCTGACTCTGCGCTGAGATGCCTCCTTGGCCTGGGCTCTACTCCTCAAATATGCTGGTGACTGTGTCTGGGTCCATTCTCCTCTGAGTGTGGCATTCCCTGTAAACCTGCTGCCCAGGCAGGTCTGTTCTACTGGGGCACTGGCTGACCTCCTCTCCTCCCCTTTCTCCTCTCCCTCTCCTCGTCCAGGCAGCATCACTGAGCCAGCCATCCTCAGTGTCAGCCAGTGTGAGGGAGATTGTCAGGATCACCTGCTCTGGGGCTAGCAGCAACTGGTATGGCTGGTACCAGCAGAAGGTCCCTGGCAGTGCCCCTGTCACTGTGATCTACGATAACACCAATAGACCCTCGGACATCCCTTCGCGATTCTCCGGATCCTTATCCGGCTCCACGGCCACGTTAACCATCACTGGGGTCCAAGCCGAGGATGAGGCTGTCTATTTCTGTGGTGGTGCTGACAGCAGTGCTACTCAGGCTTTTGGTGATGGTGGGGTAATTTTTTCACTTCTCTTGATTGCTGAACCTTTTCTCTCTGTGGGGAAGAGTTTCAGAGCCCTTGGTGCCTGCAGCTATTTTGGCTCTTGATTTACCAGTTCTTGTCTGCAATTTTGTCCTCATGCCACATCCCATCTGGTGGCTATAGTGTGTTGAAGATGTCCCCATTGTTTTGTCACGGCATTATAACCACACAGAGCTTTTTACTGCATAGGGACCCCCTGCCTTGCAGTCTTTGGCTGCTGGCCTGGATGTGGTTCCTGTTGGTCCATAGGCAGGGGTGTCTCCAACTGCCCCAGATGCTGGGTGTCCACAGCAGGCTATGTCCCCAGGCTGTCCAGCCTCAGTGCCTGGGACGAGGAGTGCCCTGAGGGGCAGTGGGCAGGGAGAGATTTCAGGCTCTGGCTATAGCAGGAATGCCTGGGCTGGGGGTTGCACCGAGGGTGTCCCACATGCGTGCCTGAAGGCAGAATTCTCCCATTACTGTTCCCCTGCCTGTGGAGAGCTGTGCTCTTGTGCCACTAACTGACTGCCTCTTCTCCCCTCTCTCCTCTCCCTCACCAGGTTCCCTGGTCCAGGCAGCAGCAGTGACTCAGCCATCCTCAGTGTCAGCCATTGTGGGAGACACAGACAGGATCACCTGCTCTGGGGGTGGCAGCTACTATGGCTGGTACCAGCAGAAGGTCCCTGGCAGTGCCCCTGTCACTGTGATCTATGAAAACAGCAAGAGACCCTCGGACATCCCTTCGCGATTCTCCGGATCCAAGTCCGGCTCCACAGCCACGTTAACCATCACTGGGGTCCAAGCCGAGGACGAGGCTGTCTATTTCTGTGGTAGCTATGACAGCAGCAGTGGTGGCTATGGTGTATAGTGACAGCAAGAAGTAGGAAGTGAAAACTCCAAGGATTTCCAGACTCCAAAATAAAAGAGAATATTTCAGCCCTCCTCCCTCTTGGCTGGCTGTGGGGTGGGTTCCTGTGTCCTCTGTACAGCAATGGCTATGAATATCCTTCTTTTGTTGTCCCACAGAACTGGAGGTTCTTTTGTTCTCCACCATGTCTGAAGGTCACTGTCCTTGTCCCTACAAAGATTAGTGTGGCTTTTTCCCCCAACCCATCACATCGTGCTATTGATGACCATGTCCTCCTCCTGCTGCCTCTGTGCTGGGGTGCCTTGGGCTGTGTCACTCTGATCTATGGTAGCAACAACAGACCCTCGGACATTCCTTCGCGATTCTCTGGATCCTGGTCCAGCTACACGGGCACGTTAACCATCACTGGGGTCCAAGCCGAGGACGAGGCTGTCTATTTCTGTGGTAGCTGGGACAGCAGCAGTACTGATGTGTAATGGAGAAGTGAGACACAGAAGCCAGTGTCAAGAGAGAAAGGCTTTGAGCCATTTTTTCTCATGGCCAAACAAAGCTGTGATAGTGGACTTGAGGCAGGTTCCTGTCCCCTGCCACCACAGGAGGACATGAATGTGCATGACAAGGCACAGGAGGTGACCCCTTCTCCTGTCCCCAGAATAGGAATGGCACTGCCTCATCCCCAGCTCTGCTGCCTTTTGCTTCAGGCTGCTCCCTCCTGCTCCTGCTGCTGCTGCTGCTGCTGCTGCTGAAGCTGAAGCTGAAGCTGAAGCTGAAGCTGAAGCTGTCTCTGCTGCATTGCCCTGGGCCAGGCTGGGCCCTGATTCCCTCATGTTTTTGTAGCCATGACCAGGTCCCTTTCCCTCGGAGGGTGACGTTCTACTGCTCTGCTGGAGAGTTGCCAGCTCTCCTTCCAGGTTCATGGGTCTCTAATCTTCCTCTCTGTCTTGAGGCTGTTTGTCCCACTGTGGCATGAGGACCATGGGCACAGGAGGCCTATCTTACTGCCTGGGCAGGGATGTGCTCCCAGGGCAATGGCTCACCCCCATCTTATTGCCTTTCACCTCTCCCTCTCCAGGCTCCCATGTCCAGTCAGTCATCCTTGGTGCCAACCAACCTGGGACAAACTGTCTGGGCTATAGGTTCTGGGAGCAGCAATGAGTATGGCTGGTACCAGCAGAAGGTCCCTGGCAGTGCCCCTGTCACTGTGATCTACTGGAATGACAGAAGACCCTCAGATATTCCTTCATGGTTCTCTGGCTTTGTGTCTGGCTCCAGAGGGTCATTGGTGTTCAAGCTGAGGGCAAGGCTGTCTACTACTGTGGTAGCTTTGACAGCAGCAGTGCTGATCTCATGGTGACACTGAGCCACACGCAAGCAAGATCTTGAGTTTCAAAAAGGCTGGTTTTGGTGCCTCATTCCACTCTACCAGGCATGACCACCTCTCCAGCTTTGGCACTTTTCTATTTCCTTCCCTGTGTGTTTCGTGTCTCAGGGCTGTGACTCTTAGCATGATGTGGCACTGGAGCTGGTTTCCCAGAGAACTTGTGGATGACCCATCCCTGGAAGTGTTCAAGGCAAGGTTGGATGAGGCTTTGAACAACCTAGTCTAGTGAAAGGTGTCCCTGCCTAAGGCAGAGGTGTTGCTGGTATTTAATGTCCCTTCCAACTCAAACCATTCCATGATTCTACGACTGTGTTCCCAGTGACTGGAACCTGGTGCTGTAGAAGCCCTGACCTGGACTCATCCCCACTGCCCAATATCCATGTGAGAGGCAGAGGAGCCTGGGACAATGTTAGGAGCTGTAGCCTGTGGAGCTGCCCAAGAATACCTTTGCCACATACCTGCTCCACAGTCTGAGTCCTGCCCGGGGCCCAGCAGCATTGCAGCCACCCTGGCAGCTCAGGGCTGGGCACATGGGCATTTGCCTGGACACAGGAGCGCTGCGTGCTTTGGCTGGGCATGGAGAGCTTCTGCCACAGCCCACGGCTCTCACACAGCTTTGGCTTAGCTGTCATCTGTGTCCACCTTGATCTGCTGCAGGGGCAGCAACAATGCTTATGGCTGGTTCCAGCAGAAGGTCCCTGGCAGTGGCCCTGTCACTCTGATCTATGCTGATAACAAGAGACCCTCGGGCATCCCTTCTCGATTCTCCGCATCCACATCCGGCTCCTCGAACACGTTAACCATCACTGGGGTCCAAGCCGAGGACGAGGCTGTCTATTTCTGTGGTAGCTGGGACAGCAGCAGCAGTGCTTCCACAGTAGCATGCAGCAATTGGGGAAGTGATGCAAAAACCTCCTGCTATTGCAGATATCAGTCAGGAGTCTCTGCTGTGCCTGTTTGATGGGGGTCAGGCCCCCACTATGGCCCTGGTCTTGCTGCCCTGCACTGAATGTGGCTGTGCTTGGTGCCTCAGCCTGGCACTCCCTTAAAGCCCCAGGTCCCTGCCCATTCTTTGCAGTTTGGGTGGGGATATATAGCACTTGGAAACACACTCACCTCTATGGCCACATTAACCATGGCTGGGTCCAAGCAGAGGAGAAGGAGAAGCAGGAGGAGGGTCTCACTCTTCTGACTGGGACACCAGTGGTGATCAGGGCCATGGTAACTCCCAGCACGGAAAAAGGGAGACACAGGCCCACTGTTACTGCAATGGGGCACGCTCAGGTGCTGCCTGCAGCTGCCCAGGCACAACATGGAGCAGCATCTGTGCCTGTGTGGCAGTTCCTGCTATGGGACACATGCTGTGCTCCAGCAGGTCCGCTCTATGCTGCTCACAGGGAGACAGCCCTGCCCTGCCCATGCCAGCCAGGACCCTGGTGCCCTGGGCACAGGGACAGGGAGGGTCCTGGCGGAGAGGGAATTTCCTTTGATGCAGCCACTCTTTGTTTGGGTTGGGATTGCCAAAGACAGCGATGATCCCTCTGCCCTGAGTTGGAGCAGGACTGACCAGGAGCTGCCCCAGCTCTGGCTGCTGAGCACCAGCACACTGGGCTCATGATCAGTTAATGGGGAGGCATTGCTTGACCCCGGGGTTCAGTGCTGGCCCACTCCCATTGTTCTGGGGTGTGAATGCCTGGGAAGAGCAGAGGTCTTGGTCTTGAGTGGTGGATCTCAGCTGTCAGAGGAAGAGCTAGGGCACAAAAGCAGGAGAGCAAGGGGGTATTTTACAGGCCTGGAACACCCATGGGAGGGAAAAATGCCAAAAATTAGTTGGGGAATGGTGGAGCTTGGCATAGTTCCAGTCCCATCACTGGGAGCTGCAGATATTCCTGTATGCCATTGCCAACAGCCCCCAGCCCTCCCTTCTCCTTAGGCACTGCAGCCACTCAGACTGGTGTGGGGACAGGGGAGTCAGTGCTGGTGGGTTTCAGGCTCAGAGCTGGGGGGTGTCTCCACTTTGTGTCTGGGGACAAGCCCTGCTGCATCTGGGATGGTGGGGCTGGGTGTGGAGCGGGAGGGGTGTGCGGAGAGACACGCGGGCAGGATCCGGCCATGACCGCAGGGTCAGATTTGCATGGAGGGGACGTGTCCTGGGCGGGCGGGGGCTTAAAAGGGAGTCAGGACCCACGGCACAGCCCCATCATTCTGGGGACGCTGAGCTGGTGGGATTGAACCATGGCGTGGGCCCCTCTTCTCTTCGTGGTGCTCGCCCACAGCACAGGTGCCTTGGGGAGACTCACCGTGCCTGCACTGGGCCTTTGGGCACAGGGACCCCATCCTGCTGCCCAGGCAGGCCTGTGCTCCTGGGACACTGACTGACCCCTGTCTTCTTCCCTCTCTTCTCTCCCTCTCCAGGTTCCCTGGTCCAGGCAGCGCTGAGTCAGCCATCCTCTCTGTCGGCCAAGGTGGGAGAGACGGTCAGGATCACCTGCTCTGGTAGCAGCTACAGCTATGGCTGGTACCAGCAGAAGGTCCCTGGCAGTGCCCCTGTCACTGTGATCTACTACAATGACAAGAGACCCTCGGACATCCCTTCGCGATTCTCCGGATCCAAGTCCGGCTCCACGGGCACGTTAACCATCACTGGGGTCCAAGCCGAGGACGAGGCTGTCTATTTCTGTGGTAGCTATGACAGCAGCAGTACTGCTGCACTGTGACACAGAGCAGTAGGGAAGTAGTACAAAAACCTCCTGCTTCAGCTTACCCTTGGAGCCCCAAGACTGTGCTCATCCTCTGTCATTTGAGGAAGTTATGACCTCCCAACAACACTGTCATGGCCCAGGGTGTCCCACGTATGTGCATGCAGGCAGATTTGTCCTTCCACTGTTCCCTTGACCAAGGAGGGCTGTGCTTCAGGTCACTGGCTGACTCTCATCTTCTTTTCTCCCTCATCTTCCTCTCTATGTTCCCTGGTCCAGGCAGTGCTCTGTCAGCTCTACTCCATGTCAGCCTTGTGAGATAAACCATCACGGTCATCTGCTCCAGGGATGGCAGCAGTTGTGACCAGTACCAGCCCAAGTTTTCTGGCTGTGCCCCTGTCAGTAGGATCTACTACAATGACTTGGGACCACCAGACATCCCTTTGTGAGTCTCCAGATGCCAGCCCAGCTCCGGGAGCACAGTAACCATCTCTGGTGTCCAAGCCCAGGACAAGGCTGTCTGTTAATGTGGTGACTACCAAAATGGCAGTGATGATGTTACCATGGTGAAACAGAACAATGGCGAAGGGATACAAAGTCTTCCTGCTATGGCAGGGGCCTGTTGGAGTCTCTGCTGTCCCTCTTTGGTGGGGCAGGTCCCTGGCACAACCCTGCCTTTTTCTGCCCTGTGGTGAATGTGGCTGTTCCCAGTGACACAGCTCCATCCTTACAGCCCTTGTCATTTGTGGATGAGAGTGGATAGGATAGAACTGAACAGGCCATTTCAGATGGAAGAGGCCTTCAATGATCACAGTCTAACTGCGTGGCCACTTCAGGGATGACAAAAATGTAGGGCATTGTCCAAGTGCCTTTATAACACTTGCAGGCCTGGGATATCATCCAGTTCTCTAGGAAATCTGTCCAGTGTTTGCCCATACTCTCAGTAAAGAAATGCTGGGATGACCTCCTGTGCCTGCCTGTGCTCCAGAGCTAAGATTCTCCTGATCTCCCTGGCTGGTGCCCAGGGCCCTGCTGGTGCCTCCCACCCCAGCTCCCAGCACAGCTGTGCCAGGAGCTTCTGCACCATCACCACAAGGGGCACAACCCTCTGGAATCAGAGGAGTTAAAAACGGAGCTTCTCTGCCCTCTCTCTCAGGGCTGAGCAGGGCTGTGGGCTTGATGCAGCTTCATGTCCCCCCTCCATGACCATTGGCTGTGAATGGCCTCCTGCTTGCCTCATGCTGTGCACAAGGAGGCCCTGGGGCTCTGCAGCGCCTGGCATTGCCATGTCCTCAGCCCCACCACCTCATTCTGCTGTCAGCCACGTCCTCTTGCTCTGCCAGGTCTCTTCATGGGGCCCTGGCCTTCAGCTCAGGCCCTGGGCTCTGTCTGAGGCAGCGACCCCTCTGTTCCATCAGGACTTTTTGGCACAGGAGCCCTTGTCCTGCAGGTCAGAGAGGGCTGTCCTGGGGCACTGACTGGCACCCCTCTTCTCCCCTCTCCCTGTCTACATTCCCTGGTCCAGGCAGCATCTCAAAGTCAACTGTCCGAGGTGTCAGCCAGTCTGGGAGAGACTTTCCAGATCTCCTGCTCTGGTGGCAATGCCAAAAGCTACTTCAGCACACCCTGCTGCATCCAGCACAGCTTCTGTCCTCCTCCATGCCTCTCTCCAAGGAGAGCAGGACTCAAGAGCTGAACATTTTCCCCCTCTTATCCTCCCACAAAATGAAACTGAAACCCCATTGAAGCCTGAGAAATGCTCAGAAAATTATCATCCACATAGAGGGCAGTGGCTTCAGCTAAATGCTTTGCGTAGACAATTTTAGTCTTTTTTTTTTTCTTTTTTGCATAGTTTCACACTTTGCACAAAAGCATAAACCTTCACAGATTCAAAGCAAACCTCTGAAAGAGAAAGTGTCTCAAACCACAAAAATCTTCGAAGTGTTACCTGTTTTACAGTGAACTATTTATAGAGTTCCTGTGACTCGGGAAATTCACTGACTCTGCCTCTTTCTACAGCAACTTGCACAAACCACATCATTTGAAAATCTGTGGGTTCAATTTACATTGGTGCTGTTGGCATTCAGTGGTCCAAGCTGAGCTCTGAATCTGCCAATCTGTGGGATTGGCACCACACTGGGAAAACACTTTTCAAAGAAGCAGCCAAGCCTTTACAGGGAAATTTGAAGTTAATTTGTTTTAGCTGAAGCCCATTCTGGCTCACCCCTTCCTTGGCTATCTCAGCTCTATATAGGCATCTCCACCTCTTGTCTTTCCCTATTTTTAGGGTAAATATTAATACAAATAAGTTGCCTGCAGAGACCTTCAGCTATTAGCTCCACTGCTGGTGTGGGAGCTGCACTGAAAGAGCCCAGCCAGGACCAAAACTCCACAGATACAGCCGTGCCTACACCTTCATCCTGCTGTGCCCATCAGGGCATTTTCATCCCATCACCTTCATTCCACTGCATCCATTGGGATATTTCCAGACCATCCTCTCCACCCTCCCCCATCCATGGGGTCCGGTGCTGCTCTGCCATGAGACAGGAGGTTTTTGTATGGCCTGGTGTCACTGTGTGGTGTATTCGGGGCCGGGACGACGCTGACGGTCACAGGTGAGTCGACGGCTTCCCCTCGTCCTTTCCTTTCCCACCACGAAATTTTGACATTTCGTCGATTTTTGGTGATTTGGGGTTTTTTCTCAGACTTGGCGCGGGGCTGGGGTCTGCCGCCCGTTTGGGGCCAGGCACTAAGCCTGGCGCTGGGGACTCTGTCTCGTCCCTGCGGACTCTGACGACTCTGTGCGCATCATGGAGAATCGGGGCGTATTTTCTTAATCGAAAAGTCTTAAAATTTGTCCAGGAAACGTGTCTTAGGTCTCAGGGGGAAGGAAACTCAAATTTAGGTCCCTAAAAGAGGTGATTTTTGTCTTTGTCAAAGAAATTTGTCAGTCTAAAGTCTACGTCTCCAATTCTTAGTCCTGAGGACAAAGTCTGTCACCCCAGGGGCTCTTCTGCGGGGTCCTGTGGCCAGGGGTGAAGGTGCTGTGAAAGAACAGCCTGTCCTTGGCTGTGAGCAGTCCACAGTCATCCTGACCTCATGTTAAAAACGTCCCTGGAATCTTAGACAAAAGATTCCAGGGGTACCTTAAAGGGCCCATTGTACAGGTAAGACACGTCAAAAATGGAGATTATTGCACTGAAAATGCTGTTGGAAATGTTGTTTGTCTGTCTTTGTCTGTAATTTTTAAAATAATCTGGTGAAAATTCCCAATTTGAACCAAATTACTCAGGGCTAAGATCAAGAAAAATGTACTTAGACCATTTCTTCATCAAAAAGTATTTAATGATGGAGTCACCCTGGTTTTCAAATGGAGATAGAGATAGAAATAAGAGGTGAAGATAGAAATAGAAACACTGCACATTGGAGGAGGCAGCAGAACCACTCCAGAAAGACCAAACATCTTTTTTCCATCTTCCTTTGAGTGATTTTTAGTGGTAATTTTTCAGAGACAAGAAAATGTCTGAAAGCAGAACTGGGCAGAAAACAGAATTGTTTGTCTGTGAAATTTTGGGGATTTAAAAAAAATGCCTCGTAAAAGGAAAGAAATGGCTTTATGGCAAAGAAATTAAGATTTATTTTTTTATATATATAAATATATATATAATGTATATATATAAATATATATCAAGTCTTTTTAGATATATATGAGATACAGAAATGTATAAATATTCATGTTAAATGCATTTAATAGAATCATACATCTATTCATATCATATGGACCACATATGTATGCATATTGTACACTTTCTATATATTTTGTATATTAGCTGTATATCTCTATCATATGTAATACATATATGCACGTATATGTATATATAGTGTATATAAAACATATATACAAGCATATGTGAGATCTATGTGTATATGTATTGCACACACACACACACACACACACACACACACATATATATATATATATATATATATATATATATATATATATCCCAAATGTAAATACAGTACAGTTATGAGTGATAAGCTCTGGCTGTGGGGAAAGTGGGGAGTTTCTGGGTAGTGCCAGCAGAGCAGGCAGTGGCTGTGGTGCGGGACAGGGCCCTCTCTGACCCAGAACCACTCTCGTCCCTTGCAGGCCAGCCCCAGGTTGCTCCCACCGTCCACCTCTTCGCGCCATCCTCCGAGGAGTTGTCACAGGGCAAAGCCACCGTGGTGTGCCTGGTTGAGAACTTCTACCCAAGGGATGTGTCGGTGGAATGGGTGGCTGACGGCAAGACCATCACCAGTGGTGTGGAGACCAGCCAGTCCCAGCAGCAGAGCAATGCCCAGCAGCAGAGCAGCACCCGGTACTTAGCCAGCAGTTACCTGTCTCTGACTCCCACCGAATGGCAGAGTTACAATTCTGTCTCGTGCAAGGTCAGGCACGTGGCTGGAAACGTGGAGAAGACCCTGAACACATCCGAGTGCGCCTAAGCCACCCTGCCGGCCCTTTGCTGGCTCCCTCCCTCCTCTCCACTCTGCCCATGTCCGCCCGTCCCCTGCTCCTGTCCCGCCACTGTGAGTGTCACACAAATAAACAGCGACACTGAACTAGCGCTGGCTCAGCATCCCTGTCTCTGTGTCCTTGCAATGCGCCCGCTGCCCACTCGCCGCCTGGCATCGGCCCAGTGGCACCAGTGGGGAGGGTGGGATGGGAACACACATATGTGTACACACACGCACTCATATTGCAGGGGCTCTCTGAAGCGTCTTCTCAACCCTGGGGACCCCAATGAAACCCCCTGGCACTGCCAAGACCAGGGAATGAGCAGCCTGGGGCACAGCCTGCACTAAGCCCCCATGCACTCATTGAACGTGTAGCTCTGGCTGTGCCACCCCCGACCCTTGCTCCTGTGCCTCTGGGTGCCAGCTGCCTTGCAGGCACACGTGGCCTCTGGTGGAGGCACAGCCAGCCATGTCCCTGTGCCGCCAGGCCTGGCCCTGTCTCCCTTTCATTGGGGGTCCCGCTGTAGCTGCCAGTTAAACACAAGCACCAACCTGTCCACACACCCTGTGCCACGACAGCTGGGACTCCTGCATGCCACATGCCCTGTCCCCATCCCCAGCTCAGCCCTGGGGAAGTTTCCCTGCAGCCCTGCCCATGGAAGGCCTGACAGCCATTGCTTTACTGAAAGCACCAGTGCTCTGCTGCTGTCACCCCATCAGGGCAGCCAGGAGCCACTCCAGGGACAGGGGCTGGGAGCACCCAGCCATGCTGTGTGCAGGTCTGGGGGAGGTATCCCTCACCAGCCTCTTGGGAAAGGGGAGGATGGCCCCACCATATCCCCTTCCTCAGGGTGTGCTAGTGTAGTGCCTTGCTCCAGGCTTTGGGTAGCCACATGTCCCTGCAAGTTTCTTCTGGGGACACAGAATCACAGAACCCTAGAATGGGGTTGGGTTGGAAGGAACCTTTAAAAGTCATCCAGTCCAAGCTCCCTGGAATGAACAGGGACATCAACCAGATCAGGTTGCTCAGAGCCCCTTTCAGCCTGATCTTGAGTCTTTCCAGGGATGGAAAGCTACCTGTTTCAACACCTCACCACCCTCACAGTAAAAAAATTCTTAATTTTACCTAAACTAAATTGACCCTTCTTTAGGTAAGAAACATTATCTCTTGTCCTATTGCATCAGGGCCTGCTAAAGCCTGTCTTCATCTTTCCTATAAGCCCCCTTCAAGTACTGAAAGGCTGCTATAAGGTCTTGTCAGAGCCTTCTCCTCTCCAGGCTGAACAGACCCAATTCTCCTCTCTTTTTCTCATAGCAGAGGTGCTCCAGTGCTCTGAGATCTTTGTGCCCTCCTCTAGACTAACCCAAACAGGCCCATGTCCTTTTTATGTTTTGGGATCCAGAGCTGGACACAGCACTGCAGATGGGGCCTCACCAGAGCGGAATACAGGGGGAGAATCCCCTCCCTCAAACCACTGCCCTCACTGCTTTTGATACAGCCCAGGATATGTCTGGATTTTTGGGCTGCAGGTGCACATTGCCAGGTCATTATCCACTGATTGCCTCAAATCCTTTGTAGCAGGACTGCTGTCAATTCCCTCGTGCCCCAGCCTGTATTGATATGAGAGCACAGTGCCCCTTCCCTCCTGCTTTTTGTCAGGGCACTGGCAGCAGACCCTGACCCCACTGAGCTGCCAAAAGGCACCTGATGCTCCAAAACAACTTAATTCGCTTTAATCCTGCTTTATCCTCCTCCTCAGCTGGGCAGAGGAGGCCTTGCCATGGAACAGCCCCATGCATAGGGCAAACCCCCCTTCCCATCACCCTGCTCAGGGGGTCAGTCACAATCTCCCTTCCCACGTGTGGGGTGACAAGCTCATGGTTTTCGCAGGAAATCCCAAATTCCATTGCTACAGAGCATGTGCAGGCCAGACCCCTGGGCTGCTGCTGGCCTCAAGGAAGGAGCCAACAGCAGGATGCTCAGCCTGCATCAGAGCCAGCGAAAAGAAGGAAAGGCATATGATGGAGAGATCTGTCCAACTGTGTTTCAAGACAAGCTTCTTTAACAGAGTTTCCTGAGCAGAGAGGGCCCACCATGGCAGAGGTACAGGGCCAGCTCCTGAGGGGCTACTGGGCTGTGGAAGATGGTCCTGAAGGTGAGGGTTGCTGCAGCATGGCCACATCCATGCATGCATCCATCCATTCCAGCTCACTGCTGGGGAATGTGAGCCCAGAGATGGCAGCAGCTCCTCCACGCTGCCACTGATCCCCTTCCTTGCTCAAGCAAGGTTATTCCCTGGCAAACCCCTGCCTTTGGCACCTTTGGCATCTCATCCCCAGCCTTGTGGTGCTGCCAGGAGAGCTGCTGCCTGAGACTCTGCCAGCCAGAAATGCCCCAATGACTGAGATGGAATGAATGAGAGAAGGATGTCCACTTCTTTTCTGCTGCAAAGATCAAGCCTCGATAATTACCAATTCCAGCAGTTGTTGAATCACCTTAGTAGTGGTTGAGGCTGCAGTGAATGACAGGTAACACAGGGCCCCCCTCCCAGCTGTGCTGCCAGGTTTTACCCCAAGAAATGCCACATTTCTGTGGAGAGGCAATTGGGGAAGGTGTCAGGGCAATTCTTTCCCCAGGTCCTGAGATTCATCTTGACATTTCCTGAGTAAATCCCATTCCTTGGTCACAGGACACTAGCCCCAGCTTTCATGGGCTAAATCTGGGGCATGAGGTGGGGTCTCGCTTCAGCTCAGGTCTGTGTGGGCAAGGCACAGGCACATCTCTGACTCAGGGGGCCTGAAACCTCACTAATTATTGATTAAAAGATTTTGCTAAATCTTTTCCATAAGCAACAACTGTCAAGAAAAAAGCCTGATTAATTATAGATCAGTGGCCCTGGCCCCTCCAGGGCTCCCATCCTCCCCCGCTGCCTGCAACTTGGCAAATTCCCAGCCGGAGTTTAACCCTTAACAAACTTTCTACAGGGCCAGAGAGCCTCGACTGGGAATCACAAAGGGATGTAGGGCCTGATCCACCCCCTGGCAGGGAGGAAAGCAGTGCCTGGGAAGAGCAATCTGGATCCACTCCCGCACCACCCTTGCTGGGGGTGTCTGGTGAGCAAATGTGCTGAGCAGAACCGAAACCTCCCTCCCCTCCCCAGCTGCAGCTCCCGCTCTCACTCTGCCAGCTCCTGCACTGCAATTTTAACAGTCATTTATTTTCTCATTTTCCCAGCTTGCCAGTAATTTTAAAATGAGGGGGATCTAATTTAGTAAATGAGATGCTTCAGGAAGGCTTTAATTAGCTGCAAAGAGAAGCAGTGGATCCCATGAAGGATTGCAGCTTGGTGAAAACTGCTCTCTCGGGCTGAGGCTCCCAGGTGAGGGCTTAGCAAGGCTTTCAGGGGGCATTTGACAAACCCTGGGGGTTTGGACATCTTGGGCTTGGAGGGGTCCCACAGCTGAGAACAGAGTGAAGGATGCAGGAATGTCGGCAAAGGAATGTGGGACCATAGGAGCTCTTGCAACCCTCCCTCCTAAACCACTGCCACGAACACCTCAAGCACAAAGCTCTGCTCTGGTCCCCAAACCCTCCCTGGGTTGGTCCCCTTCATGATGACCACCTCTGGCCACATTTGTGCCCCAAAAAACAGCCCTGACCTGTTTGGCTTCTTTTTTTTCATCACCGGGTGATTTCCCCAGGCCAGGCAAGCCCCAGCGTCTTGTACCAGGAGGAGGTGGGGTCTCTTTTTGTGGGGACGTGGCTGGAGCAGAGAGAGTGCACCTGGAGCTGATGAAACAGCTCGTCTGGAGAGGCACGGGCGGCGTGGCAGAGCCGCAGAGGAGGGGACGGGTCCCCCCTGCCCCAGCCCAGCTGCAGCCACACAAACAGCCTGGAGGCAGCAGGGCTGAAACTCGAAAGCAAGAGCAGGGTCCCAGAATAGCCCCAGCCCAGGCTGGGGGAGTGGGACAGAGTCAGACCCAGCGGGACAGCAGTGGGAGGATGGCACAAGTCCCCTCGCTTTGTTGTGCCAAAGCCCGGGTGACACCCATGGCCTCTGCCCTGCCTGAGCCAGGGGCTGCGGCCCCCCAGCACCAGGAGGGTGCTGCTGGTTCCTGCACCCCATCCTGACACACACTCCACTCCCATCGCTGTCTTCTCTGAAGGACCGGGGGAAAGGCTGTGCAGAGCCCAGATTGTGCCACGCCAGCACTGGCCCCTGGTTTCCCCCAGTCAGCCCCACCGTGCAGCTGTGCGGCGGTGGGGCATCCCCTGGCTAAATTTACTCCTCACCCACTACAGTCCCCAATCAGAATTTCGAAAGGGCCCCCCAAAAAAGGAAGTGAAACTGTCTCCAGTGGGTGCTGACGTGTGAAGGCAAGTGAGCGCCACGCGGCCCAACCTGAGTCGGCTCAGCCCTGAGGTGGTGGCCAGCCCTGTGTCCTGCCTCACCAGGCTCACCCTGGGGTCATCACCTTGTGGGGGACATCGGCCCCTGACACGGGGGAAGGGTCTTAGGGTGGCATGATGCTGCCCAAAATTGGCAGGGTGGGTGGTGCTGGACGGATACCCACTGGGGCTGGTGCCAGGGCTGTGCCAAGACTCTGTGCCAGGGCAGGGTATGTGTCCCCAGGCCAGGGTCACCCCTCCAGTCCCTTGGAGGGTCCCTGACAGGGTGCCCAGTGAGGTCTTGCCTGACATGGTGGTCCCTGCCCTGGTGTGGGATGTCCCAGCTGCTGTACGCATGCACACACACGTGTGTGCACACACATTGCACATGTATGTGCAGATATGTGCACACTCCTCCCCCCAGTGACCCCAGTGCATCCAGCCCCGGGCTGGGCACCACTGACCCCACACCCGTGGGCTTTGAGGCCGGGAGAGACCCTGACACTGCTCATATTGTGGCCTTGTCTCCCTGTGTCACCACCACAGGGGGACCAGCCTGAACAGCTTCCTGATGCTACCCTGTCTCGGGTCACCCTCGACCTACTCACTCATTTACTGAATTAAACTAATTAGTCCCTGCCTGCTGCCAAGGCAGCCCCTTCTCTGGGGTCATCCCTCAGTCTGACCTGTTGCAGGGTACAGGGGCAGCCTCCAGGTTCACAAAATATGGAG